GCCAGCATATTCATCAGAAATCAGCACACTATGAACACCCTTGGTAAGCCAGCATATTCATCAGAAATCAGCACACTATGAACACCTTGGTAAGCCAGCATATTCTTCAGAAATCAGCACACTATGAATACCATGGTAAGCCAGCATATTCTTCAGAAATCAGCACACTATGAATACCATGGTAAGCCAGCATATTCTTCAGAAATCAGCACACTATGAACACCTTGGTAAGCCAGCATATTCTTCAGAAATCTGTACACTATGAACACCTTGATAAGCCAGCATATTCAACAGAAATTAGCACACTATAAAATTCCTGGTAAGCCAGCATATTCTTCAGAAATCAGCACACTATGAACACCTTGATAAGCCAGCATATTCTACTGAAATCAGCACACTATGAACACCATGGTAAGCCAGCATATTCATCAGAAATCAGCACACTATGAACACCTTGGTAAGCCAGCATATTCTTCAGAAATCTGCACACTATGAACACCTTGATAAGCCAGCATATTCAACAGAAATTAGCACACTATAAAATTCCTGGTAAGCCAGCATATTATTCAGAAATCAGCACACTATGAACACCATGGTGAGCCAGCATATTCTACTGAAATCGGCACACTATGAACACCATGGTAAGCCAGCATATTATTTAGAAATCAGCACACTATGAACACCTTGATAAGCCAGCATATTCTACTGAAATCATCACACTATGAACACCATGGTAAGCCAGCATATTCTACTGAAATCATCACACTATGAACACCATGGTAAGCCAGCATATTCATCAGAAATCAGCACACTATGACCACCTCGGTAAGCCAGCATATTTATCAGAAATCTAAACACTATGAACACCTTGGTAAGCCAGCATATTTATCAGAAATCTAAACACTATGAACACTTTGTACAGGACGACGAAGCTGAAATATCCAGGTACTCTAAATATTCAAACATATTTTAGTTTAAGGTAGTAATCATTTTTCCTTGCCAAAATTGCACACAACTTTGAAGGTGACCCAGGTATTGTTACTGCTGGGATAATTGCACACAACTTTGAAGGTGACCCAGGTATTGTTACTGCTGGGATAATTGCACACAACTTTGAAGGTGACCCAGGTATTGTTACTGCTGGGATAATTGCACACAACTTTGAAGGTGACCCAGGTATTGTTACTGCTGGGATAATTGCACACAACTTTGAAGGTGACCCAGGTATTGTTACTGCTGGGATAATTGCACACAACTTTGAAGGTGACCCAGGTATTGTTACTGCTGGGATAATTGCACACAACTTTGAAGGTGACCCAGGTATTGTTACTGCTGGGATAATTGCACACAACTTTGAAGGTGACCCAGGTATTGTTACTGCTGGGATAATTGCACACAACTTTGAAGGTGACCCAGGTATTGTTACTGCTGGGATAATTGCACACAACTTTGAAGGTGACCCAGGTATTGTTACTGCTGGGATAATTGCACACAACTTTGAAGGTGACCCAGGTATTGTTACTGCTGGGATAATTGCACACAACTTTGAAGGTGACCCAGGTATTGTTACTGCTGGGATAATTGCACACAACTTTGAAGGTGACCCAGGTATTGTTACTGCTGGGATAATTGCACACAACTTTGAAGGTGACCCAGGTATTGTTACTGCTGGGATAATTGCACACAACTTTGAAGGTGACCCAGGTATTGTTACTGCTGGGATAATTGCACACAACTTTGAAGGTGACCCAGGTATTGTTACTGCTGGGATAATTGCACACAACTTTGAAGGTGACCCAGGTATTGTTACTGCTGGGAT